CTTGGCCTGCGTCTAAAGCAATGCACAGGCAAGAAAAATGGCATGATCGAGCCAACATTTTAAAACACATTTGACTTTCTTTTTGAAACATAGCCACCAGAAAGGGTGCAATTCATTAAAAAAAAAAAATTCTCTCAAGAAAGTGTAGCTGGCCCATCCATTCATCTGTCTCCCTGTCCATAAGAGAATGAATGAATAAGTGAAGCCATGATGTGCTAACCTCCCTCTCTTTCGCCCAAAACTGGTATTCCATAATTTCTACTCATTTGGCTAGTGATAAGATTAGTTTGGGTAGAATCTGTAGTTTCTTTATATCAGCTTATAAACCTGAGTCTCTGTACTAAAAAGGTACTGCTCAGTTTTAACCTTGTTTAATACTGATGCCTAACAGGCTGTTATGAGTACGTGTGGTGCTTGGCTTGTTCCAAGAGCCCTTTAGTGGAACAGAAAAAGATTAAATGAAGCCTCAGCACAAAACTTCTCTAAAATGACAAATCAGGGCAACCACACAAAGCTCTAGGAAAGGAACACATCCCATGGCAATGCAAAAAGGAAAGAAAACCCACAGAAAGAAAGACCTGGGAGCAGGTGGCCACATGAGCCATGCAGACCAAAATGTCTGCCAACTTTGATGTAGCAGCTGCTGAGAAACGAGGCATAAACCCAGGTGAGAACATGTAAACTCTGCCCCTGTCCTCGGCTACTTCCAAAAACTGGCTTATCTTCAGGGGGTCATATTGTCAGGCTTTCAATTACGCCTTCTTGCTGACACATAGATCCTTCTGTTTGGAACTATGGCTTCCTTCTTGTCACTATTAGTAAAGTATCGTTGTTTTTTTCCTCTATTTTTCAGACAACCTCATGGCCACCTCAAAGGAACTTTTATGTCTGGAAATCTTTCCTTCACAATACTTCCACTTGTATCACCATTTTTCATGGGTCCATTACCTCATTCTTCTTTTTTCCTGTGCAGTTATAGGCATAATGTTATAGAAGGATGCAAGATGTCTCCCAAATGGTACCTTCGGATAAAAGATCTAACCTTACTTGTAAACAGACATAACCCCTGTTTTTAAGGAACACACAGCCCGACGGAATCTTCGTTGAGTGTCCCCATGATTCCGGGGCCTTATTCAGGTCAAGAAAGTGGCTAACCGCACGTCGTGACTACAGCCAGAAAGGCCCCCTCTTCTTTACCTGCTTGCTAATGTTGAAAAATCCCTTTAATAGCCACGGAATTCTTTCACTCCATAGGTGGATTTGCAGCTTAAAATAACAATAGGCTGGAGGACAGGCATAACATAATGATGTAAATTAATTATGTACCAAGATATACATGCCTGAGTGCACGTTCTTTTGATGGTAGCAAAGCTGGGGACCGAAGGTAGTGAGGAGGGATCCCCACTGAGGAGGGGCAGGGCACAAAAAGGGTAGGCTGAGGCAAAGGTAAACTGTATCTGATGATGAACCTGCCTAGCACTGGTCATGCTGAAATGAAGCACCAGCTGACAGCAACTCATGGTGTACCATGGTGTATCACACCACAAAAGGGACTTATTATAAATGGGCTACCCTCTCCACTCAGCCAATATATCCATGAAGTCAAGGGGAAGTGCCACCTGATTCTGAATAAGTATTAGGGTCCCATCTATTACAGGCATGTCACTTACTAAAAAAAAAAAACCTCAAATGTACAGACCCTGAATTATTAGACAGCAAAGGACAGGCAATGATGATGGTAAAATTTAAACGCACTTCCAGTTAACCTGTCATAGCCCCTGGGTAGACCCTGTAAGTAGAAATCATAGGTCTCGGGATAAAGTAACAGATGCTTAAGGATTCAGTCATCAGCTAAAAAAGGGGCCAGATATCAAATAGGTATCACTTTCGATTCAATTCATGGTATTTGGTTTTCACCTTATAAATATCCTGGCTAATGTGTCTTTATTCACAAAAGGATTTCATATCTATCCTTTGAGACCCAGCTCATATGCCACAAACCCTTGGATAACTTCCCGGATCCCCCAAACTGAGTTTTTCTTATCTCTTTGGTTCCTCATCCTTCCACTCCTGCTCGTGTTTTAGCATGTGCTGTACCCCACCTGTTCTCTTAGTTTTCTGCGTCCATGTTTTAGAGACATTATTTAACTATAAGCTCCAAAGGCAAGACTTCCACAGAACCCTGCTTTCTCTAAAACTTTTATTTTACTTATCTAAGGCTATAATTTCTCTATAATTTACATTTTCCTTTTATTTGTTTAATGGCTGCGTTTCTCATTTTCCCATAAATTCCATGATACATAGAGTCACGTCTGTCCTAGTTACCACTCTAAATATAGCATAATTCCTAGCACAATGTCTAGCACATGGTAGGTACTCAATAAACATTTCTTAGTTAATGTATTATATGTTCATACTTTTCAAACAACCTGGCAGACACAACTTAATACATAACAGGATTTCAAAGAATGGTTAATAAACACAGTAAATCTGAACTAAATGGACTAAAACTAGACACACAAGTATACTAATGCCACAGTGTAGAGACACATGCTTGGAGTAAATCCTGAGTATAGAAGAGGGACTTTGCAGCAAGTCCCAAAGTTAGTGAATCCAAGTGAACTCAACTCACTTTTTAGAAATAGTGAGAAATTTTTGCATTTTCTGTTTGAAATTTCTACTTAGAGAGTAGGGTTATTAGGTGTTTTTGAAAAAAATAGGGAAGTAAGCCATTTATTCATAATCCAAAATCTAAAGCCATACAATTAAATCACAAAAAAATTGGGATTATAGATTTCTAATTAAACAGTGCCCCTCTTTCTGTGGAATTATGTTCATTTGGATCTCTGACTCCAAATGTATTGTGGAGGGAAATCTTTACCATTACACTACATTTCTAGTCACACACTCCTAGGGCTTAAAGATCTAGGGTGCTAGAAGACTGTTTGAGAATTGGATCCTTGATTTCTCACTCAGAGATGTCATAGTAGGACCTGTTGGAGTCAACTCATGTCTTAGAAAAGCCTTGGTGAGTAGCAGTGTCTTCACAACATGTGGGATAATCAAGGCTTTGGATGTCTTCAAAATCTTGTGGACACTCTGCCAAGACAGCAAATGATACCATTTACAACAGCAACTGGGAAACTCAAAATCTCTTGGCCAAATTTGCATTGACCCAGCAATGGCCCTTAATCCAGCCTTCTCTAGCCGAGGAACTGAAAACCAAGAGTAAGTGTGCAAAAGAGGCACTCAGAACAATTTTCAGGGGTATAATATGCAAGCTCCAAATCTGCCCTCCTAAGCCCCTACTTTCAAACTCCAAAACTCCTAGGGTGCCTGGGTGGCTCATTCGGTTGAGCATCCGACTCTTGGTTTCGGCTCAGGTCATGATCTCAAGGTCGTGAGATGGAGCCCTGAATCGGGCTCCATGCTCAGTCTGCTAGTCCCTCTTCCTCTGCGTTCTCTCTCTCTCTTTCTTCCTCTCTCTTTCTCTCAAATAAGTAAAATCTTAAAAAACAAACAAACAAAAAACCTCCAAATCTCCTTCTGAGCAACATCAACTCAAGGAAACTTCTTAGATTCTACTTCCTCAATGCTCCCAGTGGTATTTGGGTTGTGTCAATCTTTTCACATTATTTCTCATGTTCCAAACACATCTACACAAGGCAAGGTTCATGTCTTATTCTCTTTTATAGGCCAGAAATCTAAAATAGTCATAGAGTTGGCCACATCAAACCCACCCTACCTGCATCTCCATTACACAGAGAAAGAAAATGCCTTGCATATAGCGGACACAAAGGACTCAGTAAGAATTTACTGAATGACTATTAAGTGCCAGCCACTGTCCAAGGTGCTAAGATACCATTAAACAAGATAGGCAAGGTTTCTGCTCTCTAGGGGACAATAAGTAACCAAACCAATCCATGGAAGGATAATTTTAGATTGTAATAATAGTTGTGAAACAAATAAAATGGGCAATGAGATGAAGAGTGAGTTGAAAGAATGACAAATTAGTCTCTGAGACTAGACATTTCAGCTGATACCTGATTGATGAGAAAGAGCCAAGTCAGGCAAGGATCTACAAGAGGACAGTGTCCTAGGGAGAGGCACCAAAGTAAAGCAATGTTTGTTATTGCTGGGGGTAGACAATTGGGAGGGGTATAGAGGAAGATGGTGGAGCTGTTTAATTGCTAATTCTTTCCCCATCTATATCAGAGCAGGGTGCCACCTTTCCCCCCACTTTGCATACTTTTTTCATTACCATCTCTGTTTTCTCAATTCTGCTCCCTGACTTCCATTAAATTCCATGAACACAAGCCTCTGCCAGGAGCAAACACATCTGGAGCCCTCTTCTAACCCCTTAATATCTAAAACACCAAACTAGAAGTCATTTGAATATAGACGCAGAGAGTATCAAGATTTCACTTTAATTATTATTAAGTCCATTCAACTAATGTTCATTTTTATGGCCATTACATGTCATTATCATTACTGATCATAGTCAGAAACTAAGTTATAAATTCACTCTCCGCTGTTTCTATCCATATTATCTCATAGGAAGTCCTATTATGGGGTAAATAACTTTAGCAAAGCTGCATATTTCACTATACACTAACAGAAAAAGAAACCCAGCAAATGCATCTAAAGAACATTTTCCAAGGTAATCATAAATACTTCAGTAAACAACTACACTACTTATTTTAGTCTTCCCGAATTTGAAATTTCTTCATCATTATCATCATTTACTTCATTGCGAGTATTTGTTCATCAAGAACTGTAATCAATAAAAGAAAGAAGAGAAGCAGCTAGTTTCTGCATCATAACCAGATTGCCTAGATGCCGTGCCTGGAATCCATTACCAGTGACATTTCTAGTCGTGTTTCCAGTCATTTGGAACACACAGACTTTCTTGTGCAATATGCAAAGCTTTTGGATGCTGTAAGCCCTGCTGGCAGCAACAGCAACCCAGAAAAGGAGGTGTCACACTGAATGTACTCTACCTGATGCCATCTTCTGTCCCAACTCGAGGCATTTAGGTTCTTCCTGGGATTCCTCTTCTTCCTGAGTTCCAGTCCCACAAACCAGAAAAATAGGGAGAAAGTAAAAATATGCATTAACTTACAGCAACACTTTCTGCAAACCTACTGAATTAATATGAGGGCAAGATCTGACAATATTAGACCAAGCCCTTATGAACTGAAGCTTTGGACAAGCTACAAATTCAACAGAAGATGTTGAGTAGAATAACTACAGACAACTACGGTGCTGGGTTACATACTCCACGGTGTCAATCACAGGAAACTGTCTATGGATGTTGTCCCTGAAGCAGTACAATCCAGGGGCCCTCTGTGACTAAAAGGTTGGGAACATCAACTACTTAGACATAGCGGCAGTGGGTTTCTCCATGCGACAGAAATTCTGCCAGCATGGTGTAACAGAGATAATTATGCCTTACTTTTCATGATTCAAAGAGCTGATTCATTGTATTTTTTAAATTCTATCACAATTCACAGTTATTTTGATCCCTGGCAAGTTGAGTGAACACATTCTTCTCTGAGTTCTGGTACGATATTCTTTAATGACAATTGTGACTCCTGTGGCATTGATAAAATAGACCCAGCTAGGAGTGAGGGAAGTAAATTAAGAGGAATGTCTGTCTACACAGTGCCTTTCTAAATTTGTCTGCAAGATGACTTTATGCTGATTCCTTCATTTATTTTTTTCTCTCTATGAACAAATATTTGTTGAGTGCCTCGTAGGGGCTATTTCTGTGAGACCTTAATTTCTATGCAAGATTCTTTCAATTACACTGATGCCTACTCAGCTTCCTTCCCAGACTGGCACACTTTCTACACATACTTTGTGCCTCAAAAGAATTTAGCCCAATAGAAGATGTTTTGGACCACAATAAAGCATGTGGGTGCAGAGTTCCATAAATGGTAAATGAGGCTACTCTGTGAGCAAAATGGAACAATGCACTCAAAAATTGATATACATTGTAGGATCATTCCCCAATTTGTTCTAAGTTTGCACCTCCTAAGTAATGTCTCATCCACATGAGAATCCACCAGACTCTTCAAGCTTGGTTAGTAAGATAAAGAAGTGTTCTATTCAATTCACAAAGAATAGTTTCTTTTAAGTTGCCATCAGTATCAACTTATAAGGGAGTTGATTTCACCTGTGTTGAGAACAAATGTTTTTCCAGAAATCAAAAATCCTCCTCAAATGTTCATCAGGGACCAGTTCCAAAAATTTGTCCTACTTTTAAAACCCATTACCGTATTGGCATGGGCAATTTGGGTAAACAAGCCTTCAGTTCAATTATCTCAAATTTATATGTTGTAAGAAATTTTTAATGAAAATTGCCTTCCAAATTATATTTCTAAAAAGGATGTGAATTAATACAATACCAAAGGACATGTAAATGACAGAAAGCCCCATTATACAGAAACAAAATGCAGCAAATAATTTCTTGTTTCACAAGGCCCAATAGGACGGTATGTAATGAAAACATAAGGAGTTATTTTATAATACAGCCACAGGGGAAGTCTCTCAAGATGCCCAAATAACCAAACAAAGTTGTTTGATAGATGAAAGGATTCTCCTTTGAGCCAATAAGACTGTTTACTTTTTTATTGCTCTGAATTCCAGAATTGTGAAATAATGTAGCTCTTTAGCTTTCCTCCAGACATATTTATTATTTTATTTGAAATTGCCCCTCCCCCAATTTTCTCATTAAGTAGTAAAAATTGCAAAGCCCTGGAAAGATCTGCAGATGGAAGGATATTTGGAATCCTCTGGGTTGGAAAGCGCTCAGCATAGAATAAACAAGCATCTGTCTTCCATAGTGTAAACTATGTTCTATTTAATATTTTTTAAATGTTTTATTTATTTATTCATAAGAGTCAGAGAGAGAGAGAGAGAGAGAGAGAGGGGCAGAGGGAGAAGCAGGCCGATGCAGGGCTCGATCCTAGGACCCCGGGATCATGACCTGAGCAGAAGGCAGACGCTTAACCATCTGAGCCACTATGTTCTATTTAGAGAAAAAAGACCGAGCTCCTTAGATTCTTTTATTTCTTCTCTTCAGTGCAAGTCTGTGATTTGCTGAGTTCGTTCTTACTGGTTTTTTCCCAGCAAAGCCAGAATAAAATGGCAACAGTCTAACTATAGTAGACATCTGTTGATTTTGCTGCCTGGCACTCACTCAATCTAGTAAGTGTGTCCTGATTTCCTCTTTAAAGTCTTCCCTTCTGACACTTAACCAATTGTTGTTCCTATGAAACCAGCCCAGAGCCCCATGCCATCTCCCTCCCCACTGCTAAGGGTGGTCATGTGACCCAGGGCTAGGCCCATCAGTCCACCGCATTTCCCTGTGATTGGTTCAGAGTAGTCATGTGACCCAAATCAGGGCTAATGAGAGATTTTCTCTGGACTTCTGGGAACTTGACTCCTATTCTTACCCCCTGAAACCTGAAACAGCTGTGAGGGTTGGAGCTGCTGCCGTCTGCACAAAGGAAGGCAGAGCCAAGAGGTGGACTGATAGCGAGTCCCAGTGATACCATTGGAGCCCCAAATCGAGGCATGCCTGAAGCAGGCTTAACCTTGGCTTTTCAGCCACGTCAACTATTATTCATGCGTTTTTAAAAAATATGTTGATTTTTAAAATAATCCATTTTAGGATGCCTGGGTGGCTTAGCTGGTTAAGTGGCAGACTCTTGGTTTTGGCTCAGGTCGTGATCTCAGGGTAGTGAGATCAAGTCCAGCATTGGGCTCTGTGCTCGGTGTGGAGGTGCTTGAGAGTCTCTCTCTTCCTCTCCCACTGCCTTTCCCTAGTACTCCCCCAAAATAAATAAATAAATAAATCTTTTTAAAAAGCACAACTCATTTCTATCATGTTTTCTGTCACTTCTAACAGAACCAGCTGATACACCTCAGCTCTGGATAGCCAGAGTGGGGTGCCTTGATCATTGGCTTCACTGCTTGAGCAATAATAGTTAAAAAACAAAAACAATAAAAAATTAACTAATTAGTTAAAACATTAACGGTATAACCTCACTGACATACTTCAAGTCAGTTTAAGTTGGCCTCATAGTTTTACAACACTAGCTGCTGGCATTTCACTCTAGGAAAGCAAGTTTAGAAACATAATGATAGTTTGAGAGAAAAATAGAATTCTTGACCAAGAATTAAGGAGATCTGGTCCCATTTGTCTCCACCTGTTGCACCAAGTACATGACTGACTCTTGGCTTCAACTTCCTTCATTTGGAAAATGGATCCCAAATATAACCATTCCTTACCAAGAAAGTTGAATTCTAATTTTAAATAACTGTTTCTGTGTCACCAAACATTTGAGGAGTCTTCAAGTTTTCTCTATTATGGGCTATACTACAAAGAACATCTTTCAGTGTAAGGATTGTCATTATTTTAAATTATTTTGGATTAAAGTTTCAAGGGTAGGATCCTGGATCAAAGGTCATGAATGATACAGACTGTAAAACTCCCCCAAAAAATATTTCAGCAAATTAATGTGTTAAAATGTGACCATTTCGTTACAACCTCTCTAGCAATATCTACGTCCATATTTTGATGGATAGGAAGAGTCTCCTGTTGGAGGTAATTTTAGAAACAGATAATCCAACACTCACCATATTCCGGTGCCAAGGGTCTCTTACTGCATTGCATTGCTACTAGTGAATATATGTTTAATTTCCCATGAAATCCAGTATCTAAGCCTTGTCTATCCCACTACACTATAGGATCTTCCAGGACAAAAACTATGCTTCCTCTTCAAGTTTCATTCAGGCTCTACCCTCTTTGTCAACAGGTGCTTGTTAAACAATTATTGAATGGATCCAATTGTTTGCCTACTTTACATTTTTGTTTAATGTTTAACCTAGTAACACATCCCACAATAAAAAGTCAAGTGTTGTTCCTCCTGATAACAAAGATCAGGGGTCAGTTTCTCCAAGAAGGCCCTGAAGCAGGCCCTGTCTCCATCCCAAACTCTACCCCATTCAAAATTTAAGATGTACAGTCAGAGACCGTTTCTTGAGTGCTTGCCGTGTGTCAAACTGTGTGGTATGTGTAGAGCTCATTAGTCCTCAACAACTCCTCGAGGTAGGTGACCTTATTGTTGTCAGTCCTGGTTTATGGATGGAGAAACAGAGGCTCAGTGGAGCTCATTCACCCTGTAGTGGATACTGTGATGTGCTGCCTGGAGGCCCCTTTAGGACTGAAAGATTGATTGTCACAGTTACAGGAAATGTGGTTAATAGCATGCAGCTGTCAGCATCCTAGGAGAGAGCTGCAAGTGCAGGTGGTCCTCGGACTTGTTGACTTGAGGGCAGAGAGGCCCGATCCCTTCACCCCATCTCAAGACAACTCTGAAGGGCCCTTCTCACTCCAGAGCTGCCTGTGAGGTTGGTGAGGACTTCACTGAGAAACTTCACTGTAGCCCCTTACCCCCCTCTGACTAATCCTGCTTTCTTTTCTTCCCTTCCACAAGAGTTGATCCCCAAAGCACTCCCTAATAAATCTTGTAGGTGCTACTCTCCGTTTCAGAGTCAGCTTCCCGGGAACCCACCAACACAACCAAAATAACATTTCCTTGAAGTGCCAAAAGGGGATTCAGACCCAGGTTTACCTGGGTCCAAACCCCATGATGTAAACCACTATACTAAACTCCCTCCTTAATACTAATGCTTCTCCTTTGTTAAAACTGTGGGTGCCTGGGCCCCAGCCCAGATGCTGATTTGCTAAGTACGAGGTTTGGGATGACCAACCATCCTGATTTGCTTGGGGCTGAGGGTTCTCCAGGATGCAGGACTTCTGGTGCTAAAACTAAGGAAGTCTTGGCAAACTGAGATGAGTTGGTCACTCTAATTGGAGTGTGGCCCTGCTATCTGCTATTTAAATGACCTCTGGATGTTTCTGATGCATTGAAAATGCTTTAGAAATATGGTATAATGATAGAAGGAAATCCTAATTATGGGTGAGTGTTGTTAAAGATTTTATTATTTATTTGAGAGAGAGAGTGAGCGAGAGAGAGCACAAGCTGGGG